AAAACGATGTCGGTGACCTATCTTTTTTATTTCATATATCGATAGGGAATGATGTTCTGTAACTGTGGTGAAAGTTTAAAAAAATTCTGTTGTGTGTGATTTTTTTAAAAGCGAAAATTTTATTGCGAAATTTCCACACTAAAGATTTTTTCAAAAATTGAAATTTATAAAATTTACCGCAAAATAAATTTGTGGTCAAAATTTGAAGATAGGTCACCGATGAAACTAGAGAGTAAAATGCAAATGAAGTTAGAAAATAGCCTCGTGTAACTCGAGAAATTCCCCTTATTGAAAAGCGTCGCTGACTAGTAGAAGATTGTACGCGGGCGCAGAACGAGTTTTCATTCAACAAAATCGAGCGGCAATGTTGTTTTTACTGTTTTGTTTTTGTCAACTTTTCGATTTATTTGAGTATCATGGACAGCCAAGGATTATTGTGAAGGATCAAATCGGTGAAAACAAGGTTGAAGCTAATTGAATCCTGCCGTTTACTCAATCTATGAGCTGTAACAGCCTATTAACAGGTGGACGTGTTTTTTTGTTTCATCTTTGCCCTTTGGTTTTGTACTTTTTGCTAAAAATTCATAATTTATAGGCTATGAAACTGAAATATTTTTCTGTTTACATATAATCACTTTAATCTTGTAGAAACACGACGAAAAACGTGAACGTTTTCTTGAGAAGTAAACAACTTTTTAAACGTTTGTATGCAATTTTGCAAATGTTTTACAGTTGACAGTGTATATTTTAGAGGAATTAAAAAACATTGTTTCGTAGCTATTTTTTGGTCTAGTGATATTCGTATCATATGTAGAATTGCTGTATAGACTCGCAAGTGATTTGGCACTCAAAACGAAGTATTATTCAACGCTTTTTTCCATTAGAAACCTTTCAGAAATAGCTTTATTTTTTAAAAAAGCGACCCTAAAATCAATAACAACATGGCGGACAAACAACATCCATGTTCTAATTGCGAAAAATCCACTAAATATCGTTGTATTACATGTAAAACGTATGTTTGCAACCGTACATTATGTTCTACGGCTATAACAGACAAAGAAATTGATGGATGGATTCCAAATGTAAGCGTTGCTTACTGCAACAATTACTGCGCCGAAATATCTTCCATATCAATGATTTTCTAGACACATAATCCTGCCATAAATGTGTAACCATTACTTCACAAACTTTATGAACTCTAAGAAGACAATTTTACGAAATCTAAGAGGAAAAAAACTGACAGAAAAAAAAGAAACTGGCAAAAAAAGAAACAAAAAAAAAAGAAACTGGCAGCTCTGTTTTAATTTTTTTCTCTAACTGGTTTCCAATCTTGTGAAGAATGGTTCATGAGAAGATTTGTCGTGACACGCGAAAAGTATTCTTTAAACGCTTTTCAGAATAGTTTGACCACGAATAGTCCAACTCCAACCAATAACTCCACTGTACTGATTTTTCAAGTCGACGACATGAACGGATACGGAGCATATTCGCTTCACACAAATTGGAAAGCAGTGCCAAGCATAGCCGAAGAATCTTCGTTTTTCTATTTAATTACCAAGTACAAAATGTACAATTGCTTCTGACGCCTTTCTCTTTTAATATATATTTTCAGAATTTGTTTCAAGATAATTGCTTTGGTGAACGCCGCCATATTTATTTTATAGGCCTTCATCTGTCCATCTTAAAGCCTGCAACACCCGCATGTTTTGATTTTCCAACCAAAATTCGACGTCTAAACTGCACGCAACACTTCGGTCGAATTTCCGTCGCATAATTGTCACATTAAATTCGACGAATTAAATTCGACTGAAATTCGACGCATAAACTAGGCCTGAGATTTGTTGAAATAAGTGTGCGCATTATATTCAATTATATATTTTTCTTTGTCTTTTCTAATTTGTTCTACTGGAGAAATCACTACCTATATGCAAGGTGTATTAAAAAACGAGACCTTTGGAAATCAAACTATTGTTGTTAAGCACAAGAATTTAAAATAGCTTTTAATCACATGAAGGAGAATGACTGCATGCATGCACGCCAAAATAAAGTCAAACCAAATTAAAGTTTTAATAACTTCGCCTTGCATAATGAAAGAAAAACAGATATTCAGCCTACTTTTAATCTTGTGATTGTATTTACAAGATTTCAAGAAAGATTATAGAAAAGACAGAATATTCGTAACCATACATATGGTTGATCGAGTCAGATATAACCAATTATCTTAAATTATTAATATTCAATTAGCTGGGCAGTTGGCAGTATGCATGTCAAAAGGAAAGAACAAATAAAATATAATAAATGTACACACATATAAATGTATACATACATTATCACACACAAGCAAATACGCACGTATACAGTACAAGGTTGCATGAGTGATAATTAATAATTATTGAGTAAGTCGCATGTAATTATTCGTTTGAAGCTATATACGTAAACTAAATAATTTCTGGTCATGATATAAGGAAGGCAGTTCCAAATTTTAGCGCAAGAAAACCTAAATGTTAAATTTAACACAATTAGATTTTATATTATGCATATAAAATGATTCTTGACTAGCAAGTTTTGACTAGCATGCACTGTATATTATATATATACTTGTGAATTTCAGAAGTTGAGGTATAAAGAATTCATCAAAAACTATAGGATGAATAAAGCATTGTGAAGGAATAGAATATCTTTGAATAGTTCACTAGTAAGACTGTTATATTCAGTTTCTGTTTTTCTATTCTATTTACGTGTGTTCAGCATAGTGCTATGCATTCAAATTCCAACAACAGCTTGATCTTTAAAGGTCTCGTCTTTTTTATACACCCTGTACCATACTAGCTTATATACCAGGGCTTGAATTTATCGCGGCAATTGCCGTAGAGGGAGAACAAAATGCCGTGGATCATTGCGGCAACGAGGGAAATTTTTTGCGGTGTAGTATAATTTTTATACTATTCACTGTGCATTACTATTTTGATATAGGCTATACTTGAATTCAGATGTTGATCAAATCATGCGCAAATTACTATTTTAGTCTCAGTTTTCTTCGAGAAAAAACACTAAAGAAATACGTAAACATGTTTCTATCGCTTGTCAACAATCCAAAGTAACAATAAAATCAAATTTTTATCACAATATAATTTGAAAAAATGCCGTGGAAACTGCCAAAATTGCCGTAGACAGCTGTTACGTTCTACGGCAATTTTTAACGCCATTGCCGTCGATTGATTTCAGGGAAATTCGAGGCCTGCAATATATGTCACGTGCAAAATCACTGTATAGCAACAAAGTTAAAATGATCCAAGGTTGAAATGATATCATGTATATCTGTATTGAAAGGAGCTGTTATGTTGTGTTGCCTAATTATATATTCTGAATTATTTTTATAGATTTATCGACGAGCCCTGATGACGGTGATGACGAAAATACGCAGAAAAAATCAAAAACTGAGCTTGGACATAAAAGAAACATAACTAGGGTATATAGCTATTTTTCTTTGGAAAACAAACTTGGAGACGCCCCTACTGCACATCTAAGACTAACATTCATTTATATCTTCATTAGACGCCAATAATAACAATGACTGGACATACAGAAGCCGTGTCGTCAGTATTGTGGTCGGACGATAGTGAGATTATCAGCTGTGGTTTGGATCATACAGTAAGAGTTTGGGATGCTCAATCTGGAATCAATAAATATACATTGGTAAGCAAATTTTGTTTGCAGAAAAGGTTATGCATGTTTTACGCCAATTACTAGATATTACTAGATCGCTTTTGGGATATAGCAAGTCATTGCCATATGAGGAAATATTACGAACAATTATGTTTCGCGTCTGAATCACAGAAGGATTCGTCAATCCTTAGAACTTCTTTATAAATGTCTTTATAAGGCTGGACCTCGACATAACTTAAGGGGAAGAGTTGTACCCTTATAGCACCCTGGGGCCGGTTGTATAAAACTCTTCACTAATTTTTAACCGCCCGTTTCGTAGTGATAGTTACTTTAAAATACGCGATTCTGATTGGTCATCTTTTCCACTATAACTATAGTTAACTTTAACCACTTTTTTATACGACCAACTCCTGCATTGGAAAAGCTATTTAGCAGGACGCTCATATGGTATTTACAATATATATAGATTTCACAGTATTTCGTATTTATTTTTTCTACAGACTGGAAGAAAAGCGTTCAACTGTATTTCATATTCACCTCATTCCAGACTCATTGCGTCCGCAAGTGTTGACAGACATGTTCGGTTATGGGATCACAGAAAAAGAGGTAAACGCATTTCCATGCAGGCGCAATAAAACACTGTTTCCAGGGTGTTTTTCTGTGCTGAGTGTTCCTAGCCTCCTTCGCAGGCAATTCGCTGGAAACGGCAAAAATTTAACAGGGGGGAGGTGGGGGAATTTAGCCTACAAAGTAGGTCAGGCTTCGTATAAAACTTGAAAATCCTTGAAAGTGCTTGAATTTGGAAACAAAAATTCAAGGCCTTGAGTTTATAAAGAAGTGCTTGAAAGTCCTTAAATTGATATTTGGAGCAATAACCAAGTCCATGTGGCAAGTGTATATTTAATATTTCTTATTAGCATGCAAGATGCAGTAACATGAAGAAGCCAAAACGTTTTTGAGCGTTTACGGCGCAGGCTATGTGGTGTTTTATTTGCGTCGGGACTTGCAGGGTTCGTGCGGGTCAGGGAGAGTTAAATTCAAGGACTTTCAAGGTCATGTATCAGGAAATTCAAAGACTAAAGGCTGAAAAGAAGTCGTTAGAAATCAGTAAAAACAAACAGCAACTTTAATGAATTTCAAACAGCTTTGGCCTTTGTAAGACAGGAACAAAATTAACTTACAAAATGTCCAAATCTTAATGCCAAACAATTTCAGAAATTATCCACTAAAGCAAGATTTAAAAAATAATACTAAATGAAATGTTGAAAATGCATTGAACAAGTATTATATTCAATCGCAATCTTTAATTTCCATGATCTCAAGACGATATTTTTCAGACGGTGCGGTATTTCAGAAAACTTTGACGTCTCATGATGGTTGGCTGTCGTCTGTAGCGTGGTCACCCAGCAATCAGTACATGTTGGTATCTGGCTCTTATGATAAAACTCTCATTCTTTGGGATACAAGAAGGTTTGTTTTTCATATATGCAGAGAAAAATATATTTTGTATGTAGTTCACATCAGCTTACTGTGTCAGTTACGCGTTATTTGTGCCAGAATTATGTGCCAGTGATGTTATTATACATTTACACATAGATGTCATTCATCAATGCGTATCACTCATAACTTTCAGGTATAACCATATGCACCAATGTGTAGACGACGCATGGCTAATACTTCAGACTTTGTCAGTTAGAGATCCTTTATATGCATGACTCGTCCCCAGTCGTCTCTTTACAGTATCACTGAGGTGGACACTATTACAACAAGTCCATACGCGGATCTTTTACTGTGTGCATGCACAAGCACCGAGCTATATCATATTTGTACAGTATATCATAATATATTGCCGCAAGCCTGCGGTAAAATAAGCAGCTGGACACGGTCACTGTCGGACATGAAAAGGGCAAATGTCTGGCAAAAAGGGCGACAAGAAAAGGGCAAAAAGGTATGTCTGGGATACTGGTGTAAGTCCAGCTCTAGTGTCGTAGTGAGAGGCATCACCTAATTGGTACCTTGAAAAAAATTATTTTCAGGATTGCTTAATATTGGGAATATCGTTAGGATTAAGATTAGTATTTAAATTGACCCCAAATTGCAGTTCACCTCGGAAGTCTTGCAGCCTTGCGGTGGTGGTTGGAGACCATGCCTCGTTTTCAACTTTTAATAGTCATTCTATTATCTCTAGGGTCATGACTAAAACAAAATATTTGTTTGAATTATTTTTAGTACCACCACAGCCTTGCACATTCTACGCGGACATAATGATAAAGTGATGTGTGTTGACTGGAGGACAGAACAGGTGGGTGCCGTGACTCTAAAATTTATATTGAGTGAGTCATTGTGTCACGAAAGGAGTGCTTTATCAGATAGAAAACACGAGGCGACAACCGAGTATCTGATAAAGCACGGACACTCGCAGTGTTTTAAATGGCTTAAAAAACGATCCATTCTATGAGTTCATTGGCGAAGTAATTTAAAAAATCAACGTTGTCTGAGCTGAGAAAATCACAGCTAAAGTTTATGTTAATTAACATGATTTTTATCACATATAAAAGCAACGACGCGGTAGTGATTTTCTTTCCTCATGAATTATTGATTTTTTAAGCTCTAATACATTTTTCATGGCTGTATTTATAATGAAGCACTATTTAAGTCTGGGCTTCTTAATGTTTTTCAATAGTTTGTGATCAGTGGAGGAGCAGACAATCAGTTGATCATTCATCGTGTTTCTGGAAAGGATGAAGATATAAATGATGATTCTACGATGTAGACATTACTGAACACACAAGAACATGAAATCCTGGATGTTACGTGGACACTGCATTTGTCTCTAAAGCAAGGAGACATTACTGAACAAGGAAACATTACAGAACAAGGAAACACTACTGCCAACAGTGACACGTCTTTCTCATGTACAGACTCAGAACACCGTGATACAAATCATGCAATCAAAACTACACAAACTGTTCAATAGCGAGGTTAAGATACCCTGGTTTACGGGTACGGGTAATATGCACGTACACGTAAATCGGGGAATAACGTGTAACTTAAGAAATCCAAGATACTCCGGCGTAAGAAAACCGATCAGAAAATGGAAACTTTCGCTGTTGAGGTTCGCCATAAATTGTTGAAAACTTTGACGAGCATATGTCCATTATTTATTTGGGTAAGACTGTTGAAAAGTTTTACTATTTAAACGGCCCACAAATAGTAAACAGAAAACACCCGTACCCGTTTGTCTTTTACGTGTAGACCATGGTTTGCCGCGGGGAAACGGGTAGAAATTACGGGTAAAAATGCTGACATCAGCAAAAGTTGGTAAACAAAATGGCGATACTCGTACCCGTAAACCGGGGTATCTTAACCTCTCTAATTAGCCTTTCTCGCGCTTGATTTATCGGCCATTTTTCACTGCCTAGGTCTGATAGTGTACGCACCGCGACTTTTTATCACTGCACACGTCGTTGTGTGCATAATGGTAAATTTGCAGTTATACAATTTGGAAGTCTCTTTTCACATTGTTTAAATTGTCTAGATCCTGACGTGGAAAGACAGTACCCCCAAAATGGCAAATACTGGTCAGCGAGAGAAAGGCTAATTTACATTACCTCCAATACTGGGCTAGCAAGAGCAAAGCAATCACATACAATGACTAAAATCATTCCAACGCCTAATAGCTACCTTTGAAAGCAACAAAAAATCGCCGTTTCATAAATACTTTTTTCTGTATACATACAACCATACACTGTACTTCCTCAACTGCGTGAATGCACGCGAAGTAATAACTCCAGGCTAATAATGTATTCTAATTATCGACAGCCTCGACCACAAATGATTTTCTCGTGTGGACACGAGCAAATTCGGCAAGTGTCTATTTTGACTGTGATACAATCATCAGTGGATACAATACGATACAACTATATAGAATCAGAAGAATCAAATCCTAGACCCATTTGGTTGAAGTAGGATCTTTAGTATTGTTCATCTTAACCTCCACCAGAACATTCGTGGAATATTAACTACAAACGGTAGCAAGATTTTTACTTTTCTTGAACTTGGTGAATATGAACAGTCACGTGACCGTCACCAGTGTAAGGATTACTAGGATTATCATTATTGGAATGCAAGGGGAGTACGGGGGGGATACGTTCCTAATTGCGACGCAATTAATCCAAACGAATGAAGTGTTTCTTCAGCCTCGTACCCAGGTGCTTTGGTGCGCTAGGCCGTCGCAAGACGCGCGCATGGAAATCTTAGTTGATCATCCTGTGCGCTCGGAACGGCGTAGCAATTCAAAGGGCCTGTGTACGAGGCTGGTGTTTCTTTCCAACTTGGCAGAATGCACATGAGTGACTAGCTGATGGGAGGGTCACAACGACGGGTGGGACGGATTTTGTTGTTATCAGCTGAAGCTCAGGTGGTAACACAAACATGGACCTTGACTATGAGCCTTGCTCATTTCATTCTTTCTATCATGCGAAAACCAAAATCAATAATTGTTTTATTTTTTTTAATAAATAAAATGTAAAAGACATCCTATGGACTAAATCGTTCAAGTTTACGAAGAGTTCTGCTTGTCGTATGCAGGAAAGCATTGAGTGAATCTTTTTCTTTCAAAATACTTGAGCAATATTTCAGAGACTTTCGTCGTTATTTTGGTTTCCAGTTAGTCTTTAATCCTGCCTCCATCAACGACCGAAGGCGACCATTTGTCTACACTATCTCTGTTCGTGGTGTTTCCCAATCCTCGTGGTGTTTCCCAATCCTCATCAACGACCGAAGGCGACCATTTGTCTACACTATCTCTGTTCGTGGTGTTTCCCACTGGTGTTCCGCGTTCGTGCTTTTTTTTTCTGTTTCCAGATGGCAAACTGGCTTATAGTACTAAACTAGAAACCCGTTTTAACTTGCTCAAACAAATTACGACACGTTTTCTTCACTTCAGTATTTGAATGAGTTTATGCTGTCGTCGCGTTGCCGTCCGTAAGGTCTGTAATTATCTACCAGACTACGGTGAAGTGCTTGCAGCGAGTAAAACTTTTGCAGGTGGTTTTCCAGTGTCAGATAACTGTTCCGTTATACTTGTTCTCTTCATGAATTTTCCCTGCACAAACATCCTTGGAACATCAATCCCTTCTTTCTTATTTATAGTTCTCCGCTGTACATATTGACAGTTAATGACGTCATAGCTAGCATCAGAGAATAACTTTGTAAGATATTCTGAGAAAAACAAAATAAATATATACCAGGTCAAATGTTACCATTTTACATACATACACTATTCAGCTCACTCCCCATTGGGGTTTTTCAGTGACCGATTACATCAAGTATTACGCTCATTTATGTTACTTGTCTAGACTATTTATCTTTACAACAATTGAGACATTACTTTCCTAAGCCACCCTGTCACCCTGTGCCTAGAAGGAAACCGGAGCGTCCGATGAGAACCTACGACTTTCGGTAGAGCGTTGACTGACTCTTTCACATGAGTCCGTAGCGAGAATCGAACCCAGGTTCTCCAGTGAAATGCGCGTGCTCTGACGAGTGCTAAATTTCGTAAGAGTGCTCTAGTGTGTTACATTTGTGACATATAGAAACGCATTTACATCTAACTTAACCTTTGTGCAAATACACGAACTCTTACCATACCTATTTCTGTAGTTCATCTAACCGCTGGACGGTAATTGCAGACCCGCGCAGGTCGCGATCCTTCTGGAGGGCCAGTTGTAGTTGCATTTTTAGCAACAGTTCCCGGTTTGATCGAAATAGCTTTCACTTGAAATTTTCATCTATAAAAACCCTTCAACATACGAACACATAGACTTTCGCAAAGTCCGTTTTCTCTTTTGAGCCGTTAGGATGGTAACAGAGGGGAGGGGGTAGAAAAGTCAACTTGTGGCAAGTCTAAGGGACCGGTCATTATTTATGGCGGGGGGTGGCACCGAAGAGAAAAGGGTTGGGTAAACTAAATTTTGAGTAAGTAAAAGGTTGGGTAAATGAAAAACAAAACAACTCAAGGGTTGGGTAATAAAAAGTTATAGTCATATGTCAATACAATATGTGAATCAATCAGTCACTGTCTTGATCATTTTCCAATTTGTTAGAAGACAAATGGTGTCTTCAAAGAAAGCACATGTGCAGACAACATGATACATTAGACTGCAGCAAATTTCACAAGCAGTTATCAAACTCCTCAGTGTTACAGAAATCGGGTAAAGGACATATGTGACAACTGAATGGTAATCTTTTGTAAAGTTTAATTTTGGCCAGGGGTGGGTATTTATTTTTTACTTGATATTTGAGGTTGGGTAATCAAATTTTTGACTTTTTAATGGTTGGGTCAGCAAAAGTTTTGCTACGAAAAACATTTCTCTTCGGTGCCACCCCCCACCATAAATAATGACCGGTCCCTAAGAAGCAGACTACCATTCCCAACACATACCTGTTGTGAAATAATAAGCTCTCGTTCCATCTTGACGAACGTAGAAATTCTCTGATATCTTATGACCTTTAGAAAACCTCAACATAGCGTGGTCGTACATTCCATAATCACGAAACAGAACTATTCCTCCAGGCTTAAGAACCTACAATGAAAGAGAACAAATGATGGGGACTTAACAACTTCCAGAAGATCGTTTTGCTTGAGGCAGCTACACAAACACCCAGGGGGAACAGAGGGAATTTTGTCTACGCATGCGCAAGAAACGGAGCGCATGTTTGTCGCGTGACTGAATTCTAAAAACAAACAACAAATTTGCCAAACCTACTCATATTATGAAGTCCTTTCCTTGTTTTTTTTTACTGTTTGTACGCTTAGTCGGATTTTATGAAGCTTTTCTCACGCTTTGTCCAAAACATCCGAATGTAAATATCGCCTGTCATTTCGCTCGCACGAAAAAAAAATATTTTCTTGGCAGTTCCTTCGCCAACACATAAAATGTAGATGAAGAGTTACTTTACTATCTGCAACAGAAAAAATAGCAATATTCTCAAAAAGCAGTAAATGGCAATGCCGAAAACTTCAACGTCGTTTGAAAATACATGTCAAACTTTGAAAAACAAAATTTTTGAGGGAAAATCCTCGCGCCCGCCAAAAGTTCGCCAAAAGTCCCCTCTGTTCCCAGGGGGTAGAGGGGCAAGCTCCCTGGAATTTTGAACAAGAGCACGCTATCCGGAACTTAAAGTGTTTGAAATGCCAAATGTCCTGCTTTCAGCCTCATTTTGTACATTTCAGGCAGCGATAAAATTAAGATTTAAGACAACTGCAGATTGATAGCGATACGACTACCTGAAAAATACAAGCAAAACATCGATGCTTCGCTCGAAACGACGAAGTTCTGCTTCTATTGTCTGCGAAATGCGGATGGTTGCACATGCTATTCTAGGCAATTCATTTGTTTCATTGTGATCGATGTGAATTTTTTCTGTGCTGGTGTTGTGTACTCAGGTGAATAATATGTTTGTGATGTTACTCTGAGTGCATATCCACACCGGGCGAGCTTGAAAAATATGCCCGGCCACGGTGGGATTCGAACCTACGACCTTTGGAATACTAGCCCAATGCTCTTCCAACTGAGCTACGCGGTCAGGACGGTTCGAGTAAGTGATATTTCGGAACAGTATCTAGTTCCTTCAATACCAATGTGTTCTTGTAATATGAATTTTTTCTGTGCTGGTGTTCCAAAGGTCGTAGGTTCGAATCCCACCGTGGCCGGGCATATTTTTCAAGCTCGCCCGGTGTGGATATGCACTCAGAGTAACATCACAAACATATGTGATTGATGTGTTTCACACGTGATTCACTGACAGTGTTGTCGCAATGACTAGAGAACTCACTTCTACTCACTCGCAAAGTGAAATTGTTTCTCGAGAAGCCAATTTTTCTTTATTGCGTATGCGTTAATTCATTTCACGCCAACTGTTTTTGGATTTCGCTGATAAAAGTTTTCGTAGAATAGGGAAAGGAATTAAGGGCCATCAGGCCTTATTGTGTTTAGTCCGAAATGTACTTATATCAGGCAGCACTAACAATAGCCTGCTCAGCCGGCTCTCGCAGGAACAAAACATTTTCCACTTACAGCAGCAATGTTTTCTAAAGCTGGTAACATTTTTTCAGGTGAAATACTGGACATGACAAAAATAACAGTGATGATGTCAACAGATTCCTCAGACACATGCGTGGTGAGTCTATCATGTGTGATATCACACTGAAATGCATTCATCCTCTTGGGATCATATACACCATTTTCCTACAAAACAACGTGAAGAAAAACGATATTTTAAGCGAGTCTTGGAAATTTTTACAGCAGCGCTGTGGATGCTTCGCGAGAATGGGGAGCACTTCAGTTTCAGTGGTATATCCAACATCATTTTGGCCGGGGAGGGGGGGGGGGGTTACAAATATCCTACAATGTAGAGAACAAGCATTCCAGAGAGGTCCAGGGGCATGCTCATCCTCTTTTTCTATAAATCGAAAGTGATTAAGGTCTCTCCAACACCATTTCCTGCATTCTGAGGACATTCTAAAACACATCTAAATCTAAGACTTTTAGTACACTTTCAATCTAGAAAATGTTTGTCTTTCTTAGTTGCTTTGCCGGGCAAACTAAACTGAATGCATAATTAGCCCATGATACATAACTTAATTCACTGGCGGCAGTCTCAGAGTGACCACTATAGTTATTCAATCTACTAGATCCAAGACTTACCTCAACAAATGCAACGGCTCTCTTTGAAAAATCACAGGCATGAATAAATATTGATGGAATTTCTTCCAACAATGGAAATATAGTATTTCCTACACCACAGCCAACCTCAAGTAACGTTTTTCCAACAAGCACTGCAGTGAAAATAAATCCAGAAGGAAAAATGTATTATGTAAGATGAAGTCATGCTCAGTTGGAAGTAGTCATGAATAGCAATATAGCTATAACACTGATTACTGCTGACAAAACAGTTTATTCATATTAAAATGGAGCAGGCTTTACGAAAATTTCCTATAGTATAATTAGGGCTATAGGAATTCCAAAAGGAATTTTGAGGCCTAACAAAAAAATCCTGTAGATGATTCCAGTTTCCCAAGAGCCTATTTTTTCCAGTCAACTGTAATTAATCCTAACCTTTCAGGTTTTCAACCTGCTAAACGAGTTAGCAACTTGCGAACAATGTGAAAACGTTGTTTGCAAGTTGTTCACCATGTTTTCTTGAGATGTTTATGTGTGGTCAGTTGTGGCAATAACTTTTGCCCTCTCAAAACATTTTTGGTTTCAAAAGGCTGCTGGTTCGATTCCCGGCCACCGCAGTCAAGAAAACATTTTGGCTTCTTACTTTTTTAGCGATTTTTTCTTTTTTGTTAATGATAGACACAAGCACAATACTAGACTAGCAACAAAAATTAGTTTTTGTATGCCAATACTCAATAGACAATTCCCATTATAGACTAATTTTAAAACTAGACAAGGAAATGCAAATAAATCACCACAGCTAGAAAGAGCATACTAAAATTAGTAATATTGCAAAGGTTGGAAAATGTTGTAAAATGCGGAAAATATAGCCTTGCAAAGTTCGCAAATTTTGTATACTTTTGTATTACGTGCGGAAATTACTACCACATTTGGGCCGAAAATGGTAGGAATTTCCGCACGCAATACAAAAGTACACAAAATTTGCAAGGCTATATTTTCCGCATTTTACAACATTTCGCAACCTTTGCAATTTTACTAATTTTAGTATGCTCTTTCTAGCTGTGGTGATTAATTTGCATCTCCTTGCTTAGTTTTAAAATTAGTCTATAATGGGAATTGTCTATTGTAAGAACAAATTATGATCAATTTTCTATTCGATCACAGGGACCCTATATATTTGAAATGAAATAGGTGATAGCTTGAAAATATCAAATTTATAATTAACAATTACTGGCTTTATGCTTGTTTTTGTTCTTGTATATGTTTACAAATTTTAATCTACATATACTTGAATAATCATTATTGTGCACCATGACCTTTTTGCTGGTGCAAATGAAATTCTTCTTCTGATCAGACTAGTATCTGATCTCCCACATCCCCAAGAAGTCTTGCATCTATGCTCAACCCATTACGTTGCATTGTGCCCTAATTATAATGCATCCTACTTTATTATTTTACTAGATATCTAATGAAAGATGATTTTACTTGACATGTCAATTGGATAGTGCTAGTGTTATAACCAGACTATTTACCCATTTGTTTATATAGTTAACCCATTATGTTGTAATGACCATATACCTTCATCAGAACATAGTTCTTGAAATTCTCTGGATGTCCAATGTCTATCTTTGAAGAAATTGGTTGAATTACGTTTATAAAACAAGTCCCAGTTACGTTGAGCATCTTTTTCTAACTTATTTTTCTTAAATTCTGAAACTGGAACTGCATCATCTTGCAGTCTAGTCCTTTCTTCCTCACTCAGTTTCCGCAAACTGTGTTGATATTCTTGAAATTGTTCTGTCATAATCTACAGCATGGCTTTGGGAAAAAATATACAGTATAAAACATGGAAAACTGAAGGTCATTCAAACAGAATGGTTATCATTGCTAGGAAATAAAAAAATATTACAAGTGTATTCAGTGGCGTAACGTTATATCAAGGGGGCGTAACGTTATATCAAGGGGCCCCCGGTTCAAAATTTTCGAAGGCCCCCCTAGTAGAAGTGCCAAAGGCACGAGTCGAGCGCCGTATATGCACAAGTTTTCTAGGGGGTCCAGGGCATGGTCATCCGGAAAATTTTTGAATCTAGATTCTCTGAAATGTCATTTCCTGGACTTTGGGGAGAGATTTTACAGAATTCTGATGGTCATAAAACGACATTGTAACATATTAGAGGCCCTGGCCAATGTTTTGCCCTATCGCCTAAGCCTGGGGGCCCCCATTTGGGTTGGCGGCCCCCGGGTTCACCCGGTCTGAGCCCATAGTAGTTACGCCACTGAGTGTATTAATTTTGTGTCATTTGTATGGTACAGCAGATATCTACACATGGCATGGCCATCTAGCACTATCATTAACCCTTTAAGTGGCAATGCACCCTGATGCGCCCTACTTTAGATTTTACTTTGTCTAACGCCAGAGTATTTTACTCGTCAAGTGGAGAGTGCTGCCACTCAATGGGTTAAAGCATGTTTTCCACTTCGACCGTATTGTATCCAAATGTACTGGGGAGCATGCGTAGATTGAAAATAGGATAAATTCACATACTTTCGGCTGTACTTGTGTATCAGAATGTCAACTTTTTGGCGTACTATGGAAGTATTGACCAATCAACATTCACTAAGTTTTTTATATGTTTCATATGATACGCTTGAAGTGGAAAACAGACTTTTCCGGCCTACTTTTTATAATTCACAGTACTGAGGGGCGAGGCCAACAGTTTTTTGTAAAATTGGAATGTTTTCAGTTCAAATCCATGTGAATAAATAAATTAATAAATAAAAAATGCCTGGTCACATGGGTGAGAAGGCTAATGGTTAGGCGATTTAATTGGCAATAAATCCAAACATAACCCAACTTTGCTACTTATTTACACTCTGTTTAAATGCCAAACAATTTTACTTGTCCAGGGGAAATGTTGGGCATTCATGGGTTAACCAGACTATTCTCCAATCCGAGAGTTCGTGTTATTGATTTTTCATCTTCATATTTTTCATCTTCATATTTCCAAAATGCTCCCATTTTGGTGGTTTTTACTCGTTTCCAATTGACCATCAAACTGACATTAGGGGTTGCCAACAAATAGATTTTGTCCACCGATCGCAGACTTGTTCCGCAATTGCCCCTTCCCCCATCGCGGACAAATCCAACAATTTTTTAGCCAGAAAAGTAAGTTTTTGTCCTGATTATTTTGTACTCGCGGATTCAAGGCTGCCCCCTCCCCCCATCGTGGAACAAGTCCGCAATCGGTGGACGAAATCTATTTGTCGACAGCCCCTTACATCATTTTCTCAAGTTTTAAAGTTCATTCTTCTGGGATTTTCTTGATTAATTATTTAGGGCTGGGGTAGGGTTTGTGTTTAGTTACAGAGAAATTTAATTAACACCTCTTCTATCTTCCGACAAGGACGTCATGTCAGTTCGGTGGTTGGAAATAAGAACTGACCCATTTTGATTTTGGTTTGTTATAGCAGACAAAGGGGCACACAGACATTGGACACACTTTGCATTTAACCAGATGCCTCCTTATATTACGTCTCCCTTTGACAAGTAAGGTATAAGGTGAGTAACAAGCCATAAGAAATAATTATAACTCACGTTGAGATACCCACTGACCCAGGATTTTTAATATCACAATAGCCAGAGAATAGTGATTTTCTGACAGCTTTCTTGTCGATCAAGTTTGAGCAGCTGAAAGTTGACAAATGTCTTTATTATCATAACATCTCTTTTGCGTTTGTTGTAACTGGAGATTCACTTTAATATTTGTAATAAAATTTCTCTTATTCTGCTATTGCCTCAGAGCTATTGCCTCATGGATCTGATGGCCTCACTCCTCTTGACTCATGGATATCGATCATAGATTGATAGATGTACAATCTATGACTTGGGCTCGCTGTGCGTGTGGCGGGAAAGCGCGGGCTCTGCTCAATCCCACAATGCTGAGTGTGCTTGGTGTTTGCTTGGACTGCGAAGAGATTTTCTCATTGATTTGAAAGGAAATACAAAATGTCAGAAGAAAATAAGGTAAAAAGGTGGTTTATTTATGAAGTAGAACGAGTTATATAGCGACACTGTTACTGTTGCTAACACATATTGCGCTATTTTATAGGAAGTGAAACCCGAGTCAGAACATATCAATCTCAAAGTCATGGGCCAGGTGAGATCTTACTCGAAATGTTCGTTGATAAAAATTAAACATTTTATCGTTTAAAGCATGTTCATTTTATGTATTTGACACCGTGAAAACCAGCCATCGGTTGTCTAATGTAATTTTGATTTTAAAATGCTGGTTGTGGGGATGTATGAATACGAAATTTTAGATGGCGTGATATGGCGGTCAAATATGGCACGTGTTACCAATTGAAGTTAATGTTGAACTGATTCACCTGTACATATGAGTTACATCGAGGTATTGCCGCACATGTGATGAATAGTCAAAACAGCAGAGTTTTGTACGAGATACAACTACCTGAACAATAAACTTTGGCATGTCAAGCAAAGATCTTTCATCTGGAAGTTAGAATCCCAAATTGGGTCGTTCCAAAAAGTGGTCCTGAGGGGGATGAAATGAAATTTTGTTTGTGATTATAGTAAATGTATTTGGATGTGCAGATAGGTGGAATGCATATTGCTTGACAAATATCATCATTGGAAAATCATTGACTGATTTCCTATTGACTGCTGAAAAGTTGGAAAATTCTGAATGTAATATATATATACTGTAGTCTGTAGTCAGTAAACTTTGTTTGGAATTTGCCAATTTTTCAGCAGCCAATAGCAAATCAGTTGATGATTTTTCTGGTGATGAAATTGCATCCTGCCTATTATATACAGCAAAATTCAATAAAAAGCACTTTTTATTAATAAAGAAGTTTAAATGGTTCTAAACCCCTTCCCATGCATTTTAAAAAATATAGTGATTTATCCAAGGTCTGTTGCATCTAGTTTTTTGATAGCTTAAAATTTGTGTCTGTTGGTGGTGAAACTTGCGGCAGATCACATGGAACGTGCGGTAATACGTCAAATACTGAGTTATACCAACAAGCATTTATGAGCGTAATTATATATTTTGAATCATGTGCACGTTTTCGTCCATGGTTTTGTCGAGCAAACACAAAGAAAATGTTGATTGTTTGCCGAAAATTTACATAATCGAGCGCCTTAGTAGAATAGATCGAGGTAGGTAAAGCTTTGATGTTTTTTATTTACCTTACATTCTGTTATTTGTTGTGATTTTGGAGCCATTGTGCTCGCACTGATTTATATTTATCCTGAAGGCGTTTGTTACAAGGTTTATTATATAGCGTGAAAGCACAATTACTCAATTTTATACGCAAACTGAAACGGAGCCATTGTGCTTGCACTGATATTTGTATTGTGTACAAAACTTCCAAACTACTATACATTTTGTGAATAACATGAAATATAAATATCGAACAAAATTCTCATTTACAATACTATTGAAATTGAATACAACGAAATAGCAATCTATAATTATTTTCAATCTACCACAGTATTTCACCATTTCCCTTGGTTTTTGTATCTGCGAATGCAGATATATTGCAATTGTGTGCGTACCGGAAGTTTGTAAGCGTGCTCATAGCCAATCAGCGACAGCGTATAGATGAAATGACATAATGATACTAATTTCAAAATGGGGGTTACTGAAGGGTGAAACAAGGGGAAATTTGTGAATTTATGATTAAAATTATACATCAAACACAGTCAAAACAACATCATTTTACTAGTCTGAATATGGCAAAGGTCTAGAGTGTATTTTTGGCAAGCATTTGAAGGGTGTCATCATTTAATACGCAGTGGAAACGAAATGATTCGCAATTTTTGACAAGAAAATTATTGACTAATGACATTGAGAATACTATTATGAAATGAGAATACTATTATGAAACTATGAAAGTAATGATTCTTCCACATGTTGCCATTATAGGTGTACATCGAGTTGTAAGTGTTGATGTTTATGTACTTCTCAATTTAACATTTCCATTGGTGACTTTAATTAATATAAATTAGTTGAATGAAACCAAATAGAAGGCCTTTATATAATTTCTTTTTCAATGATCATAACTATAGACAATTGATGTCTGCTTTCATTACAGACAAGCAGACTTTGATAGATTATTTTTATACAAATTTAGCAGAGTCAGAAGCTTAAAAGTCACACATATTGGAAACATTTCTCTTAAAGCAGTATGTGCATTGAATAATTGCTTTCATTAAAGCAAAGCCAAAGTAATAGTGGCTGCATAAAGAGCAGAGATTCAGCTTCAGATTGGAATATCAATACTTACAGTAACAGTTGCAACCAGTCATAATTATCAACTTGCAGTATATAACTATATATCCTGGGTGTGCTCCATTCTTCATCCACCATGATTTCTGCAACTGAATGTCATTGCCAAGAACACCAGGTAAGCAATTTATATCCCCTTCACCTATGTCATACTATATTGTCTTATAATCAACAACAGCCATATGTCATAATGGGATCTTATTTATAGCACACAATGTACAAAACTAACATACTATTCTGTTGGATTTTCTTCCACGACAAAATATTATTGCGTGGATCTGGTAGGCTGAATTATATCATTGTATTCAAGAACTATATGCATCGATTATACTTCTAATTTCCATACTTGGCATCATTTCTTACTGATGAGTGACTTTCAATATATGACCTATTTGATATATTTACTTGGCATAAACAGTTGATTTATGTGCCATCAACCCTGACTATGACATTTTCTAAAATGAATTAGATCAATTATAAACAGCAGAAATGTTGATGTTATGTATCAATTATGGTATAAAAAGGCTTTCAAAACTCTGCAAATGTATATTGGCACCACCTGTTATCCTGACAACTTCTATGCATTTACAATGTTCTCGCATGCCTGCTAAAGTTTATTATGAACTATCAAGAAGATTTGGAACCCGACATGTTTTAACAAGAACATTATAAAGCTAAGATGATTCAACAAGAACATCGTAAAACCGAATATCATCTTTGTGAAGTTTATAATATGGCCGGAATTAGTTGCTGCAAGTTGAATATATATATTCAGCCATTTTATTTTTCTTTCATCTGACATACTATAAATCTAACTTTATTTAACTGGTCAACTGTTAAACATCAGTCCCTTAAAATTTTTACAAGCTACTGAGTATTGATTAAAGCCGTTGGCAACAGTGCAATCACCATGAGCAGATACATGTACGCTTAGCGTACCTATTTTTATATCTTCAAAAAGTTACAATAAAGACAGTATACCTATATAGTAATTACAATGATTATCAGTATATACAATATACAATAATATGTTTGCAATAAAATGTAGCACTGGCAGTAGAGCAATATATAATACAAAAGTCAAAACAATTAAAATCCAAACTATATGTAAAACAAGACTGTTTATAAATTTTGAAAAATAGCTGAAATGTGCTATTTTTCAAATATGGTTTCATGAAGCTATTAGATCAAATTGTACATATATTCACAATTTTTTTATGATTAATTAACCCAATCTTTATAGCCATCATAACTCTTTGTCGTAAACTATACATTGATACCAAATTGATTTAAGTATTTTGAGACTGCTATATGTTATAGTATTGTACTGTGCCGTGTAATTTTGTATTGTGATATGTTGTTTTGTGTTGTATTCTTAAAATTTAGCAATTTTTAAAGGGCCCCACAGTAATTGGTGTATACTGTTGTGGTGACCATGCGACTTGTTGTAAGTGGCAAAGTTTAATAAATATAAATATTCTTTGCCATGGGTTAACGGTGTAACATATTAGAATTTAGAAGTACCGTCACAGCGTAGATATTCTTTTGTGGTTAAACTGTGGCAGCCATACTTTTCTTGAGATATAAACTTCGGTTGATTCAAGGGCGGATTTTCATTTATTTAAAAGGTGGGATGCAAGTGGCACCACTCAGTGAACTTCGGCAGGTGTTAGGCATTTGGGTTAAAGCCTTTCACACAAAATAGGAGGGGTGAAGCGAAATTATGGTGGGTTTGAACACTTTATTAGAGGGATTAGAGAGATTCTAGAGGGTGTTTAACCCCCCTCCCCCCCAGTAAATCCGCCCATGGGTTGAATCGGTTTGCCTGGCTTCTAGAATGCATTGCAGGTGAATGCATATAGCTAGCTGTTCGTTTACATGTGTGCTTTGTCACTTAGAACTGGTTGCAACTTGCATTTACCCAACTGGTATTTACCCAAAATGTTCAGATACTTTTGAATTAACAAAAACTTTTCAGTTCATTACAAAAAACAGTAAAAAACACTAACATGGCAGGATATGCACAGATTCAAAATGTTTAAAAATAAATTCCTTTCCTGCAATGAATCTTGAGAAGTTATTAGATTACAACCATTCATTTCGAGCATAACAGTTCGTGTTTTAAATTTAATGATCCTGCTCTGGTTTAACTGGGAAGTTAAATGCATGGTCATTTTGCTTCATGGTCCTTTCATTATGTACTAACATAAAGTTGTTTTGCTATATAGCACATAGCTGCATAAAGTCATTTTTAAAGTGTTTTGCTACATACACAAAGTCCATTCACCAGGGCCATCGCTGCGGGTAAAAACATCTTGTCAGCAAAATGAACGATTTTTTCAGTGATTTTTACATTGTTTGTTTGCAAATTTGACCTCCCCCTGCCCTCCCCCCTTAAGCCTCTTTGCAACGGCCCTGCCTTTCACATACATAAAAATCATTTTGTTACACACATAAAGTCATTTTGCAACAAGAATGGAATATCCGTGTTCAGAATATGTATTATGCCATTGGGGTCAATTATTCTCTTGCATAACAGAATGGCAAAGAAGTGGTCTGCAGATTGTTATATTATATGTTTGATGCAATGGTTCATGATTCATGATCAGGGATGTATACAAGCATTTTAGTCTATATAGAGAAGTTAGAGTTTCACAAGCAGAGTACTCCCCCCCCCCCTGCAATTATTCTCCAACATTTACCATAAGTCACAAGAGAAAACCTGACCCACTCAGTTAGAAAAAATATGTTGCCTGTTTTATAGGATAACACAGAGGTTCATTTCAAAATAAAACGGACAACTCAGCTAAAAAAACTAAAGCAAGCTTTCTGTGACAGACAAGTAAGTTAAATATGAAAAGTTAAATAGCATTCTTTTAAATGATTGCAATCGTTTGCTCCACACACACTTAATTGCTTTTTTCACTAAAACATTTTCTTCACCAGAAGTTAATATATACTACATATGCTTTGTGACAGGGTGTAGCTCTTAATTCACTGCGATTTTTGTTTGATGGACAAAGGATAAACGATGACCAAACACCAAAAGATGTGAGTATCCTTGAATGTCGCTTTTCATGCAACTTGTGTCACAACGTTGGGAAAATGATTTTAGCATTGTATTGTGTTCTGTTGGAAGTAGTTTTGCACCAAGTAATAGATTTCATGCAATTTTCAATAATGATGGTAAAAAGTGGCATAACGACTGAGTTTGCTTGTTTGTTGTCAGTTTGACTGGTAAGAGTCAATAGGAAGCCATCCATTACGTAAACACATGAGACAAGTTGCACAACGATATCTTACAATGCTCCAGGATACAAAAACGAAAACGTTGCTGCAGCCATTACCAATCCTATCCGCTCGGTAGCTGCCCAAATTTGGAGTTATGACATCACCGTGGCATATTGAAAACAAATATACCACGTTTGACGTAATGTCGTGGTATATTGAAAAACAATGTAACACGCTATGACGTCACGCTAATTTATATGCGGCTTATGCCAAAAGCAGGAAAATACAAATGGCGTCCTCAAAGGAAAGATTCCCCGACCTTTTTTGTGTATTCTGACAAATAAATAATAAAATCATTTATATTGAATTCGGTTCTCGCAGGATATGAGGAATTATTAAGGCCTTGGTTTGTGTTATCTGCTTCGGCTTTGACAGATAACAAAAACCTCAGCCTTAATAATTCCTCATATCCTACAAGACCTCATTCAGTAATTGTTTAATGTTGTATGGATTACCAACATGGTAATTATTAGCTAAAAATGGGGTTGGTGAAGTTTTGCTAACCTAAGTTTTCCGCAAAATGTTCAAAACTCTGTAACTCTATTGGATTGTATGCAATCTCGTAGATTTTATTGGCGCCGAAATGGCTGTAGAGGAATCTATGATTACATGAATACATTGCGGCACCCGACCAGGGAAGGTTCCATTTTCTGATGACGAATGTGGAATCCTGTGGTAGGGAGCTACGAACTAGGGTTTCTTGGATATTTTTGCTGTGTCAAAAAGAGGGGGTTATGGGGAAAATGTTCGAGGGTGGTTCGATTGATCTTGTTTTGTTTCACAGCTTGAAATGGAAGACGATGATGTTATCGAAGTTTATCAAGAACAAACTGGAGGTTACAGCTAACTGTCAATTGTAAATTAAGAGAACTGGTCTTGCTACCAATCAACATATACAGGCTGGAGAATGAATTTTTACAGTGAACTATAAACATTTTATTTCATCATGTGTACAGTCGTTGTAGAATATTAAGTGGTTGACATATGTAGCGTGTTATGTTATTTCGAAATATTTACCAATAAGTCAGGAGCTTAGTAATTCTTAGTATTATATAGTCTTGTATATTCTCTGTGTTATTATTTCATTTTCAAAACACTGTATAGGTTGTTGTTTTAATTTTCATGGTTAAACTATGACTTATATTGTTACTGCTGGAAAATGTATTGTTTAATTCGTATTCATCAAGTCTTGGTTGTTGAGAATAGGCCTGTGTAAGCCTCTGTGTGTAAACCAAATACAAGACTTTATGCATAGCTATAGTTACGACTGTGCTACCACCATCAATCGCCAGACTTCCCACATGACAATTTCATTTCAAAAACAGATCTCGAATTTTAAAACAAGCAAATTGTATTTCAAGATTGAAGATGACAAAAATATCGTGCTGGATGTTGGAAAATTTCGTGCGATGATATTTTATTAAAAAATCCTGGCGGTAGTCCTTCTGGCGTGCCGGTCATTTTCTTGCAGCATTAGTTCAGAAGGCGGTTAGGTGAATCCTTAGCCTGCGCGATTGTTTGATCGATGAGACGGCGCGCAGACCGCTTAATCCCTATCAATATAAGTTTTATTTCGTGAAGTTTCAAAATAAAGGGACGTGCAGAAACACACAAACCGGGACAGCGTGTTAAATGTTAATCCAGCTTTGAACAAGCCGAGGATCTCAACTCTGATGATGTTGGCAAACACGTCATACACCCTTCTAGAAAGTGCGCCACTTTGGCTATAGACCCTCGTTTTCGTCTACGTGACATCATTTAAAGCCTAGCGTCTCAATCACGAAAACGAGGTTCTATAGCCTATTATAGACGAGGCTCTTATATAGTCTATTATAGACGAGGCTTATACTCGACCTGACCGCGTAGCTCAGTTGGCAGAGCATTGGGCTAGTATTCCAAAGGTCGTAGGTTCGATTCCCATCGTGGCCAGGCATATTTTTCAAGCCTGCCCGGTGTGGATACACACTCAGAGTAACATCGCAAGCATGCAAGAAATTGATAACATACAAGAATAAATGAGTTGAACGCACGGTATACAGTTTCAGTCTTTAAATCATACAAAATTCTATAATTCATTAACTGACCAATTATTTAATTTATTTATTGAGCTTCGTCATAATACATCAATTTTTATTTGCTAAACTTAAAACATTCATACACAAGCATCAGAGAGAAAAACTGGAGCACCAAAATAGTTTAACACCAATCACTGTGCTTGTGGGTTCTTCGCGGCTTACTTCACCAATCTTATCAGAACAAATAGTATTGAAGGAATGAATAATTTCGTCTTCACATAGTCTATAAAGATAAGATGGTTTGGAATACCGACAAACTTCAAAGCCACAAAATAGAAGAGCTTTGTTTGATGTTGAACTATACCTCACCCTGCATAAATCTTTTGTGTCAATATTATTCATCGTGGTTGCACGTTTCATCGCAGCTATCCCTATTGGACAGTTACTTCATTATACGAAAAACAATTGCCGTGACTGTGCACATATTATAGAGTTCAGATCTGACTTCCGCTACATTTAGGGACCTCCACGAACAATCAGATGCGTACTAAGCCAGTTAGTGGAACTCAAATCTGAACCTCTATATTAACATCAACTCAGAGAAAAACATATAACAAACACTTCTGTTTAGTCTCGTCATGGATAATAAAATAAATGGATTGGAAACTTCTGACGTCATTGACTGCATCCTTGTTGAAAAACGTGACGTCACGCGTATTGCGATTTGCGAATGTTACCAAAGTTCTCGGCATATTTGTTGTTTTGCAATATTTTCCACTTTAAAAGGGTGATCTTGAAGCGTAAACTGGTCTAATTGTTTTAAAAACATGCCTAAGCCACGACAAAGTATTCAAG